CCTCAATGTCCTTCTTGTGGCGAGGTGCCCAAAACTGGACACAGTACTCAAGCTGTGGCCTCACCAGTGCCAAGTACAGGGGCACAATCACTTCCCTGGTCCTGCTGGTTACTCCATTTCTGATCCAGGCTAGGATGCCGTTGGCCTTCTTGGCCACCTGGGCACACTGCTGGCTCAGCTGGCTGTTGACCAGCACCCCCAGATACTTTTCTGCCGGGCAGCTTTCCAGCCACTCTTCCCCATGCCTGTAGTGCTGCCTGGGGTTGTCACGACGTAGCTTAGGAAGAGCTACGTTTTTTAAAAACAACCAGATTTCTTGTTTGTAATTTTCTGTGGTGTTGCTAATAGCAAGAGAGAAGACTTCAAATTACAATAGTTTTTCCTTTTTCACTTCATAAGCATTAACTGTAATGACAACATGAAGCGAACCACTTCAAAAGTAGAGATTTAAACTATATGCTATATACAAAAACTATAATGTATTCATCCAAAAATACTAATTTGAATGCCAGATACATTTTCTTAGAATTTTAAAGTAAATACTAATTTAATTAGAAATTAAAAGGAATACACTGGGAATTAAAACAACAACTTCAGGTTGTAGAGTCAGGCTTTTTGACCTTTTGACCTCAGCACAGCATCATCATTCAAATTTCCCATACAGCAAGCTCTAACAGAAAACTTGTGTATATGAATATGTATTTTTATTTCTACATGTAATAGTCATAACTGAATATATGTTTTCTTCATTAGCAGAAGCCTTAACTCTTATAAGCGTTGTTCTCTATAAATATAAATAACTTAGTCTGTATAAATAAATTAGTCTGTAAAAATTAGTTTGCTTAAACCCAAATGCAAGTTATTAAAGTCTACATCAATCAGGAGGTTTGGCACAATGTCATTACTGGGCTGAGGAATCTTAAAAGTACATTTTCAGACTTGGGCATCTCTTATAATTACATTGTCATTCTGTTAAATTCGATCTTAACTCAACATCTGGATTTACAATGCTCAGTCTGGAGATAATTACAACCACCTTGTCAAGCAAAATCCTGACAAGTACTCCCAGCTGTACCATCATTCAAATGTGCTCTGATGTCCTTTTTACCTATTTAGATTAAAAAGAATCAACAATTCAGTAGGCATAGGGAACTATTCAGGATATACAACATGCTTAGATATTGTATTTTCCTCCACATTCTAAAAAGCTGCAGATTGCCCAGCATTCTTGTATCCCAGTGGTTTTGGAGTAAATGTTTTGATGATCCAACTTTTAGAGGCAGCAGGCACCCAGTCTCCACTGAGACTTGTGCTGTTTAGCAATTTTGAGAACTGATGTCCAAGGATTCCTTTTAAAACAAACAGTAAAAATCCTATTTGCTCACATTCTGTAAGACTGAGTGACAAAACAGCAACTTATAAAACAAACTCTTACTGAAGCATAACAATTACAGAAGCAATACTGAAGGTTTAGCAAGTCGCCTGCTAAAATTTTGCAACAAGTTACTTGAGGATAGTCTGGCTGCTGACTGAGACTTTTGAGACTGTTCCATTCTAGATTCTGCTGAATTAGCCCAGCTAGTGATTTACTCTTATAAATATTTAGGAGCATCTGGTTTGCTTTTTAGGATAGAAGAAATCTGGCATTTTCCCTTACTCCTCACAGTTTTAAGTGCTAATTGCTATGATCTTTTCGGAAGCTGGACTCTGGGCAGTAAACGCCATTTCTGCAACTACACAGGAACGCCGTTAGACTGGTCTTGGTGACTGTCCAAGAGCGTGAACGTATGATGCACTCCATTAATATTCACAATGCAGGAACCAGTGTGCCTCTGGATGATCTGTTTGCACCCATCCTACACTGCCCGGAGCAGCCCGGAAACAAAATCTCACAGACCTTTGTGGCACTTCTGACTTTGGACACAACTCACCTACATTGTTCGTACCTCCAGCCACAACATAGAGAACTGGCTGACTGATACTGTCAGTATCTTGCAGCAAAAAAAAGGAAAAGATTAAAAAAATGCTGAATGGGGATCAAAAGTCTGAACCATCAGATTTGTATCTGACAAGCCTCAGAGGACAGGGCAGTGAACATGCACCCTCCTTTCTCCCTCCCAACTTCCTGAAACGTGGTCCCTGGGGTTCCTTTGTCACCACTTTAGTATATGTCCAGAAGCCTCAAGATCCAGAATCATCACAACTGTGGGATACTGCACAATTGTCATGTTGAGGACAAGAGGAAAAATCTTTCTTGAGAAAGGACATGTCCCTGGCAGCAGGGAGGATGGATTAAAATGATCTCTAAGGTACCTTCCAGCTTAGGCCATTCTGTGATTCTATGACATGTGTATGAGAGTACATATGCAAGTAGCAGGGAGAGCTCAGAATATTTTGAAATTGTGCCTCTGACTGGGAAGCATGAGCCAGGATGGCTGGGCCCTGACGTAAAGGCTTCACAGAAGCCTCAATTTTCTATGCCCTTGTGCCAACAGCATTGACCTTTAAAGAGCACATAAGTAGACCCCGAAGGATGTGATTACATCCCTGCACTCCGCACTTTAAATGCATATCTGGGATACTGCATCCAATCTCAAGCTCCCCTACACAAGACATATTTACAGACTAAAGTGAATTCAGAGAGGGGTCACCAGAGGCTGGAGCACCTGCCCTCTAAGGAGGGGCTGAGGGAGCTGGGCTTGTTCAGTCTAGAGAAGAGATGGTCTTAGGTGGACCTAACACCCCCCCCAGTACTTACAAGGAGGATACTGAGAGGACAGAGACAGGCTCTTCATATGCTGTATGACAGAGAGTAAGATACATTCAACCAAAACAGAAGCTGGAAGAAAAAATCTGTATCACAAAGACTGTCAAACATTGGAATAAGATGCCCCAAGAAGCTGTGGAATTGCTGTCCTTGAAGGTTTTCGAGACTCAGCTGGAACAGAAACCCCAACTGACCTGGTCTGAATCCACTGTTGACCCTGCTTTGAGACGGAGGCCCACCTAGATGGCCTCCTGAAGTCCCTTCCACCCCGAACAATTCTGCTAACATCAGAAAACGGGCACACATCCCTTTTGCTTCTTGGATCTCCATCCCCCAAAAAAGCCTGTTGCCTGTTCAACAGTAAGAAAGTAAGTCAACTTGTACTCTACTTTGTGTAGAGTATGAAGAGAGCACTGGCCCCACTACACTTAAGGACTACCCAAGGGAAACTGTATCAGGCCCATAAATTACATGGAACCAGCTATGCTGGCATCCTCTATCTGTCTGGTGTCATTTTGGACTGTGGTGCACCTGGCTACTAGGATGATCTGGCCTGCTTTGCAATTCCAGCTTTGATGCTGAACTCAAGGGTCTTGCGGTCTGTGAGACGACAAGCCCGGTCCTCAAGTGTTGCCTGATCTAGTCGAGAGGTGGCGTCCCTGCCCACAACAGGGAGGTTGGACTAGATGATCTCTAAGGTCCTTTCCAGCCTAGGCCATTCTATGATTCTATGATTCTAAGCCCTTGCCATTTCCTATTGTCCTATTGGCATTTTGCCTTCTGCTGCAGCCACTGATGTAGCCCTCCCACTAAGAGAGCCTGGTCTGGAGTATTTTGGCTCTCAGTGTGGCCTGTGTGTTTTTGAGGAGGTGTTGTGTGTGCACAGGCCCAGAGGTACAATGTGAGAGCACGATGGCACAGGTTCTGCAGTGCTGCCTTATGGACATGCTTACTCGGAGCAGAGCAATTTTGGCCAGTGGGATCAGCCAAGCACCCTGAGAGCACACACAGGTACAGCATCTGGTTAGCTTTAGTTTCTTCCTCTGACACTCCATAGGAGATAGTGGAACAATACACTCTAAGGCCAGTAAAGTGTGGACACTCAAGATTTTACGTCCGGAGTGAAGCAGGGCTATATGAATGCAACTCATACACATTTGCAAGAACAAGCTATATAAACTTCTTGCTAAGCACTCTTTAAAACAAGTTTATTCTTTTATGGATGTATGCATGTGGAAGGAGTTTTATTTTAAGGGCAAGCACACAAATTGATTCCTTATTCCCTGACATACAATCTTCGGGGACTTACACATTAGCCCTACTCCTATGATAGGCTAGTGGATGCCATATTTTCCTGATAATCTTCCTAAAATACTGATAAGAAACTTCTTGCAGAAGGGCCTGATCCTAGAGAAGATGCTCTTCAGACACACTGCCTGTACACAGTAACTTAAAGGGAAATTCATTTAGGTCCTAAGAGAGCAAATGGGATAAGAACAAATTTAGGAAAATCTGTAAGGGGAAGCACCTCAAATGAAACCGATGTGCAATGTGATCTTAAAAAACAGTTTAACCAAATTAGAGTTGTAATTAAGTTCATCTAATTGCTCACAGTTCACAAGTGTTAGTGTTATTTTAAAAATATATATACTTAGAGAAAAAATAGCACTTTGTAGCTTTTTCTTCAATGGACAGTGAACTAAGTTTCACACAGAAGCAAAGAGTCATTGTTATTTTACAGGTCACAGTTACAGCAGTGTAAAATAACTTGCTTGAAGTTGCTCAGCCATATCATTGACATAGCAAGGAACAGAACTTAAACGTCATCATCACTGGATTCTTAACTTCAGCATTTTTTTAAAGGTTAGTTTTAAAAAATTTAGACATCTTTATCTTGCCGTACGAGTATGTGGAACTTCCTATGTGTGGTATCACCTTGATCTCAAAGAGTTTGTGCCGTACTTTCTTTGGGTTTACGCAGACTGAAAAAGGCCTAAAAGAAACATTTTAATAGAAACGCCGTCAATGCTTTCAAAATGCAGCCCTGGGAAATAAGGAGAAAGTTATCACTTGTATTAACTGTTCAAAAGCCCATCAGAGAGTCAGATACACAGATTCTAACTGTACACACAGCTGAATAAGCAGAATCAAAAGCACCAGGAACTGCAAATCTGCAAGAGCTGAAGTAATGTCTGAATAGCCATCCTTCCAAAAATCCTCATGTTATCCTTACCAGATTAATCAGTCTTCTCATTGCATGTTCATGCGAGCAAATGCATTCACAAGGATCAAATCCACCTTCTGCCATGGTTCTCTGGATAAACCTGAACTTGTCTGTGAACACCTAAGAAGAATAAGAATAAAAGGACAATGAACTCTTTTTCAGCTGACCTTATTTTCCAGAGACTCACACATCAAGTTTCAGTTCATTTAATGCCAGGGTGAAAAAGCAAAACAAAGCAGGGTAATCCCATTATTCCTTTGGCAGCATGAATGAAGAAGTCTGGTATGTGCAATTACATTTTGATGTTGCTGAAAGCAGTGTCTCACACAGGCTTCCTTACAGAGCCAAGTAATTTTTTTGCAAGAATTTGTGTCTCTCCACTGGGTTTTCCCACATACTGCAAAGAAATACATGCTACCAAACAAGAATCACAAGGATTAAAATCTGGTTTCTCATTTGCATAGTGGGACTCTTAGGTGTACACATATAATTTGAAAAGTCAGGGGAACCTGTACTCCTAAACTCTAACAAACTGCTGGCATTCTCCCTCTGGATCAATGTACAGGAAAATAATTTAAAACCCTTTGCTAAAGGGAGAAACAATCATCCTTACTCTATAATGAAAGCAAGCAGCAGGGGTGAAAAAGTGGATGTACTTGGAAACACTTTAAAAAAAGAGCTATACACACAAATTTTACATCAAAGAATTAGGTCATTCACTTAGCAATACAGTAAGTTCAAAGGAGCTGTAATGAACATGGTGGGGAATCAATCCTGTGTTATTCACCTGCTAAAACCATTTACACAAGACACATCAAGCATATACAAGCGTATCTTTACTGTTTATCAATAGCCGCCTCAGTGACTGAGTGGATGGTCAAAATGGGTAGTAGCAGAATGCAAGGCATTTCTACCCTTGGGGTCAAATCAGGGATTGATTTCTCTTGAGCGAGGACACCTATGATGTATTTGAACAGTTCTGCATGATACTTACAAAATATTTTTGTTAACTGGGTATCAATGAAGCTGGATTCGGATTGTGTTTGTGTTGCACGTACCGGGGCCCTAATGTGAGATAACTGGCAAGCTTAACAAATGCATCAGCTTAGAGCAGATACAACCTCTCAATTTCCTAAAACAAGTAGTTTATGAAGTGGCCAGCCATTTGATAAGGCTGTGCTGAATCAACAGCTGTGTTTTGCAGTCATCACCTACAAAAACTTAGAGCTTTGATCAAATATAAGCATTTCAGTGTTTTAACTTCTCTAGGAGAAACAGGTATAACCTATATGGCTATGAGATATCTTTCTCCAACAGAACATACCACTGTAAAAGCTCTTCCCTCTTGGGGGAAGAAAGAGATGGAGAAAAGAAAATGCATTTCAGAAGTCCTTCCTCTGTCAACACCTACCACTCTTCCGTGGAGAGAGACAGATAGTAAAAGAAGGTAAGAGAAATATTCATTATTGAGTCTGAACATCAGGGTCCTTAATCTGCTAGGGTCTTCACTTTTTAAAAGATCACTGAAAACTTAAAAAAGGAAAAAAAAAAACCAAACATTGAAGGGATGGAAGAAAGGCTTTTTGCCTAGACACTAAAGAAAGAATAATCTGGCAATGTAGAGAGGAGACTGAGGGATGACTTGTAGCATGTAAGTACCTTTGCTTAGAAAAATAAACCTGTTATCAACTAAAATCAGAAGAGAAGCAAGGCGTAAGTTTTTACCATCACAGCAACGCAACAAACTGCCAAAGGAGTTTCCCTTCTCTCAATGCATTCAGAGGTGCTTCAGCCAAAAGAACAGAAGCGCTCAAGTTTAGATATCACAGGAGATCACAGCAGGTGATCTAATGATTCTTTTCTGGAGTTAATTATAAAGCTACTACACTAACTTTTGGGAAATTATCTTAGAAAAACTATAATTGCAAGACAGCAATAGAAGAAGTTTTTTCACTACATGAGCTCTCGGGATGATATGCCACATTGACCAGAACAGCTTTCTAAAGCTGTCCTAGCACGTGGAAGAGATAAAAGCACTGATGGCTAAATAGTGCAAAATTATATATAACAAATTACCTTAATGAGCCAAAATAAAGCAAAACTCACGTCAGCAAGTAAAATGTCATCCAAGCTTTCAACAAAAGATCCCGTACAAGCCTTCTCACCTTCACATGATGCTGAAAGGAATCATCCTTTATCTTTCCTTCCTCCAAGCCTATAACAAGCTCTTTCATCAGCAAAGGACCAAAGATGAACCATCTATTTTTGGAACAGCGCTAGTTTTTCCCCTGATAAAGATGATTTTATTATTTAAAGAAAAAACAGGTAACTATTCCCCATTTATGCAATTATATTTTGCTGGGAAGTGGAGGAAGTGGATTTTACACATGTAAAAGTTGGTAATAAGAAGCTAGAGTTTTTATATATCACGGAGTAGGATTCTTTGGCTCCACTTTGTGCTCTTAGGCAACCTGTTCATATCAGAATCCTGTTCCAGACTTGCAGTGTGCTTCCTGCCCGCCTCCCAGTACTTGCGATTGCCTGATCTCACGTCAGCAGCTAATTTGTCCTGCCCAGCCCTGACCTCTCTTTGCTGTGAGTCACACCACCTCTCCACCTTCTGCAAATACAGTTCTGCATACAATCTTCCACAAAAAAAAAAGAGGATGTGCTCCGTTCTTTTCCTCTTGACCTGGACGAATCAAAAAGCTAGTAGTTTTACTTTATTTTACTTTCTTTATTTTTCTGTATGTTTTTGTGTTTATTGTTACCTTGTTTTTCTTGGAATTTATAGAGTAACTGGTTAAGACCACAGCACTTGGTAAGGCTATGATGTCAAACACCTGCACACACTCTGACTGAGACAGTTACTTTTACTTTACTTAAAATTACCATATTTTGACTTGGCTACATCACTGCTAGCACAGTATTTAATACACAGAGTTTACAAACAGCTGGAAAATACATTTAGTAAATATGTCAAAGCTCTCACTGATAACAGCTGAAAAGGCATACATTATGGTCTCTAGACTGAGCAAACTGACAGAGAGCATAATAAAGGAGAGAATTATTAAATGTGGACAAATATGACGTACCATCAAAGAGTCGACATGACCTTTACAATGTGAAAAGGCCCACAGAGGCAATCATAAATAGTACTACTGAAATTAAAATGCTGTAGTCAAAGCTGGAATCACTATGATCTGGGAGCAAAGTGGAGGATCGTCTCTGATTATTTAAGACAGAAATAAAAGCGCACCTTTAGACTTGAGCATCTATTTGAAACTGTAGGCAATGAAGCCACACTGAAAAATAGTCGCTCATGATTTAAAAAATTGTATTCTCAGTTATAGTAATTATTGCAAATTGTTTCTTCTTTTATTATCTTCCCCAACCTCACCCCTATGGGCTTTGCATTATATTTTATACACCCTGATATCAAAAAAGCAGTCTTTACGGCTACAATCTGATTGGGTTTTGTATGTTGAGACTCTTCTGTATTTTAAATTATTGCAATGACTACACATTATTTCCCAACTCAGCAACACCTCTCCTGAGTAAATAGCATACCGCTGGTAGTCTCTGAGAGACAGAAATTATACTCTGCTTCTCTCCACCTTCATCATTACAAAACTGAATTCCTTTCTAGCATGAAGTCAGACAAGTTTTGTCAATTTTCCATGTGCTGGATGCCCTCCAACAGGACTCCAATACAATGTTGATTGGCAAGATTGTCAAAAGGGCACATCCCTTCCAGCCTATGCCATTCTGTGATTCTATGATTCTATGATTCTATGATCTACTCCTTGGTATAAAGGAGTGTGTAAAAATATATGTAGTTACAGTATTCAAAGAAGCACTCACTCTGCATGATACATAAATTTAGTCACTGCAGATTTATCATGGACTAAAGCTGGCATCTTCAGCACCAAAACCCTACGCTGGATCCAGGCATTTTGAAAAGGTAAACTATCACACGCAGATGATACCTACAATGGCTGAAGATTTCCTCTGCTAACAACTACTTTTGCTGTGTTGCTATTTTCTTGAAGATTGAAAGTAGGGAATCCTTGGAACCACAGTATCTCACAGTGCAACAGCCACATAACAGAATCTTTCCACGTTACTTTAAAGAGGAACAAAACCCCATGAGCTTCTTGTTACTGTTTTTCAGCCAACTGCAGTTACTAAAAGCACAACTGTCAAATATCTTTATCAAGCCATAAAGTTAATTTTGCTTCTGAGTTCAGTGTGAGAGAAGTGCGGCAGAACAAATGAATATACTCATAAAATCTAAAAGAAAAATGTAGAATGAAAGCAAATGACTTGTCATGCCTCTGCAGGCATTCTGAAAAATGATAAAGGGCTAAAATAGCAAAAGTCACATACAAGGCAGAAACAATTCACTGCCCCAAAGATAAAATGCTCATTTTTATCCTCCTGTTAGAGGCAGAAACCCTTTCTTCTATACTCTTCCATGATCTCCTAAAGGATACAGGCTTCCATAAAAAGGATTTGTTCTCTTGCCTTTTCACCTGCACCTAAGCCACCTTAGTATGCATGTTTTCTTACAATATCTGATCCCTTCTGTAACTCTTTTCTTCACAGCACACTCCAAGTTTGGTTCTTCCATATAAACTTATCCATTTCCAAATGACCTCCAATTATTCTTTTGTAGCATCTAAAACATCCAGTACATTGGCTTCACGTAGCGAAACTTCTATTTTTTTCCAGTTTCTACACCCAGAAATGCAGCACTTTTCCTATCACCAGAGCAATATAAAGGAGGAAAAAGGGAGAAATGATAACAGAGCCATTAAAAAACCAAAGGAGGGGAATAACTAATACAGCATAAAACTACAGGACAGTATAAGAAAACAAAAGTGTTTGTGGTTGAATAGGGAAGAAACATCACAAAAGGAACTACAGAAATAAGGAGAAAACAGAGAAAAACAGGCAGTACTTAAAAAAATAAATGTTACTCTGAAGTTAATGGATGCACACTTCTAAGATCATAGGGGAGGACACCACAGTAAATCAAAATTAATCCAGAATCCAAGGGCCCAGCATAAATATCCAGTGGAGGTGGTCTGCATTTTTTATGCAAGAGTTTT